TTGAATGGAAACACCTGTTCACTGAATGCTCTGGAAAACACAGACCTTTAACTGGTATCACCTACTCCCACACCCTGTTCAGAACACCCTTCGAGGAAAGAGGACTCTTCAGAACTGGAGATGAGAACACAAAAATTGCAATTTACCCAATCCCATCCTCATAACCCAATCTTTCAATCCTGACTTGGGCTCTTGGGGGATGCGTGAGATGACAGATCCCAGATAGGATTGGAATCATCCCTTCTACTCCCCAACCTCCCTGCCCAGCCAGTTAGAAGTCAACCCTCCTTCAAAGTGTTTTTGGGAAAAGTGATTACACCTGGCTCTTTGCTGCTCTGATTAAGAAATTCCTCCTGTGGTTTGTTAATTTGTAATCCTTCTTGGACTTTCACTTCATTACTTTTTGCCCACCAAGTCCTATTGGAGCTAAAAGATAATGGTTTCATAAAGCAGGCCTACACTTTTTATTGTAATAATGGGTCTGAACTACTCGTTTACCTTTTTAAAAGTAAAAGTGGATATTGCAATCAAGGCACTCAAATACTTAGGAATAATTTTAACAAGAAATAAAGTCTATAAGACAAAAACGTTAATATGCTACTGATGAGACACCAATGGCTTAAATGTGTATATAGTAAGAAGAATCTGTATCATAAATATGATTCTCCCTTGGGTAATCTAACAATATGAGACTCCAATCAAAATTAAATTAACAGCACAATCAAAAAGTAAATTGTGGTATATTTCCACAATATACTATGTAGTAATGAGAACAAATGGACTAAAACCACACACAACAGGGACACCTGGGTGGCTCAGTTGGTTAAGCATCCCACCGCAGCTCAGGTCACAATCCCGAGTTTCACAAGTTCGAGCCTCACATTGGGCTCTGTACTCTTTCAAAAATAAATAAAACATGAAAAAAATTGTTTTAAACTACACACAACAATATGGCTGAATCTCACAAAAAAAACGTCAAACAAAAAAAGCCAGACCCCAAAAAAGTACATACCATGTGATTCTCTTTATATAAAAAAACAAAAACAGGCAAAACTAGTTTGTGCCATTAGAAGTCAGAAGAGTGGTTTACCCTTGAGGGGAGTATGACTACCCCCTTGTGTAGAGTGGTTTTGGGTACAGTAGTAATGTTCTGTTTCTTGATCTGGGTGTTGGTTACATTTTTGAAAATTCATCAAGATGTATTCTTTTCATCTGTGCACTTTTCTGTTTGTATATTGTACATTAGTTTTTTTAATTTTTTTTAATGTTTATTTATTTTTGAGAGAGAGAGATTGAGACGGAGAGAGAGAATGAGCGGGGGAAGGGCAGAGACAGAGGGAGACACAGAATCAGAAGCAGGCTCCAGGTTCTGGGCTCGAACTCCCCCACCACGAGATCATGGCCTGAGCCAAAATTGGACGCTTAACTGACTAAGCCACCCAGATGCCCCATATACATCACTTTTTAAAGTTGTGTTGAAAAAACACATAAAGTACATTAATTTTTTAAAACAGTATAGAATTACAATGTGAATAGACAGATCAATGGAACATGAAAAGTCCAGAAACAGGTCTGAATACAATTCAGGCAATTGGGTCTTATAAAGGTAGCATTCAAAAATAATGGAGGAAATATGGGTTTATTCAATAAGTAGGAATGGATAAAACAAAGTTGTTGGATCTCTATCTCACACTTTTACACCAAAATAAATTCCAGGAGAATACTTACATATACAAAAAGACACTATTAAAGTTTTTTTTTTTAATTTTTTTTCAACGTTTTTTATTCATTTTCGGGACAGAGAGAGAGACAGAGCATGAACGGGGGAGGGGCAGAGAGAGAGGGAGACACAGAATCGGAAACAGGCTCCAGGTTCTGAGCCATCAGCCCAGAGCCCGACGCGGGGCTCGAGCTCACGGAGCGCGAGATCGTGACCTGGCTGAAGTCGGACGCTCAACCGACTGCGCCACCCAGGCGCCCCTCCCCTAAAGTATTTTTAAAAACATACACACATAGGAGAATTTCTGGGGCACCTGGGTGTTTCAGTCAGTTAAGCCTAGGATTCTTGGTTTTGGCTCAGGTCATGATCTCATGGTTGCCAGATTAAGCCCCATATTGGGAGCCTGTTTTAAGATTCTCCCTCTCCCTCTGCCTCCTCCAACCCCGCCCAGCAAACGTACACGTGTGCTCTCAAAAAAAAAAAAAAAAAAGTGAAATAAAAACTGAAAAAATAAAAAACAATTTCTTAATAATCTTAGTAGGACGGGGCGCCTGGGTGGCGCAGTCGGTTAAGCGTCCGACTTCAGCCAGGTCACGATCTCGCGGTCGGTGAGTTCGAGCCCCGCGTCGGGCTCTGGGCTGATGGCTCAGAGCCTGGAGCCTGTTTCCGATTCTGTGTCTCCCTCTCTCTCTGCCCCTCCCCCGTTCATGCTCTGTCTCTCTCTGTCCCAAAAATAAATAAACGTTGAAAAAAAAAATTAAAAAAAAAATAATCTTAGTAGGAGATTTTTCTAAATATCATAGGAAACCCAGAAGTTATTTTTTAAATGGTGACAAATTTGGGGTGCCTGGGTGGCTCAGTGGGTTAAGCCCCCCACTTTGGCTCAGGTCATGATCTCGTGGTTCCTGATGTTCGAGCCCCGAATCAGGCTCTGTTTCAGATTCTGTGTTTCCCTCTCTCTCTGCCCCTCCCTTCCTTTCTCTCTCTCTCTCTCTCAAAAATAAACATTTAAAAAATTATATAAAAAATAAAATGGTGACAAATTCAAATACATAAAAAATAAAAAAGATTTGCACAGCAAAACTATCACCATAAGCAAAAGTAAAAAGACATAGGACAAACTGAGAAAAGGGAAAACCATTTTTAACTTATATACGAACAAGGAGCAAATATTAAGACAAAATAACCAATACAAATATGAACAAAGTATATGAACAATTTACCAACAAAATACAACAGCCACTTAAACATTAAAAGATGTTCAACCTGACTTAAAAGAAATGGAAATTAAAATTACAATGAAATAACATTTACACTACGAGACTGTCAAAAATCAGAAAGCATACGTTATCAAACAGGTCCCTTGCATACACTGCTGATGGGAGAGAATTTAAAGCTTCTGTGGAAGGCAGTCTGGCAATACATACTATACTTACCAATTTTTTTTTTCCAAACATTGCCGATGGAACGAAAATGAGAAGAGTCTTTGCAAGGGAGGGATTTTGCAAAATTGTATCTATCCAATTAAAAAACAATGCACACATTTCTTTGACCTAGTATTTGCAGTCCTAAGCATTTATTATACAGATATACAAGAGCCAAATGACATATATTTGGCATCAACATGTGAAAGGATTGACTAAACATATGTTAATATATCCCTTAGGCTTACCGTGAAACATACTATGAAGCAAATACATGTGCTACTATGGTAAGCTATCTAGGCTACATAAAAGGAAATTGCAAAAACAGTATGGACAGTAAGTTATCGACTGAGTAATAAATATATATAAATACATAAAATATGTATATATTTACTATAGAATATCTCGTGAAAATTTTACAAGAATCTGGTAAAACTGGTTGCCTCTTGAGGGAAAGGAGACGGTATTCATTGTAATCACCCGTTATGCTTACGAATTTTGTAGAATGTGTATTACTTATTCAAAATACACATTTAAAAAATTAATACAAAACGAAAACCTGAGGCCCCAAGGCATAGATCGCTTTAGTTCACCAAAGAGACAATCTCGCGTTCATTAAACATTCAGAGTGCTTATCGTGTGCCCGGCACAGCAATAGAAGCTAAAGCAAAAGCCTTCCGCGCGTTACCAGGAGCGCCCAACCCAGCGTCCCAGGGTGAGCCCGGGTGCAGAGCGGGGAGGGGTGGGGTGCAGGGTCCGGCTTGCGAGGCTTGCGCAGAGGCGGTAGTAGGGCCCAACCGTCCTTAACGGTCGAGGGTCCTGGACCGCGGCTGGAATGCCCGCTTCCAAAGAAAACTCCGCCCCTCCCCCCCCCCGAGAAATGACCCCCGGCTTGTGCGTTTGCGCTGATCCCCCGACCCGTTCCCCTCCATCCCTAGGGAAAGGGGAACCCCTGACGCCGGCACCACCCGCAGCTCCCTTACCACGGGGCGCTCGAACTCGTTCCTCTCCACCTCTCCTGCTGCCTTGTCCGGCCACATCGTCTCTTCACTCCTCCGCGTAGCTCCTTCCCCTCAACCTCTCCAACTCTACGCCGCCTGTTTTAGGTTTTCCCCCAAAAATGTTTCCCATACCACCTGAGTCACTGCCACAGTAGCTATAGGACCAATCAAGGCAAAAGATCGCAGAGAAAACAAGTGGCAGAGCATCGCCCATCATAAGGCTGCTTTCTCCATGGTCACTGGGCTGTGGAGTGACACTGGCTCTGCACAAAGGCACTAATTTTTTTGCGAACGATGACACACATGAGTGATTCCACGCTCTCGCACTTCGGTCCCAGCTTCGGGAGCGCCGATTTTCTCCGAGGTTAGGGGAGGTGGAAGCTTCTTCGGTAATTGGCCTAGAGGGAGCCTGGAAGGATTCCATGAAGCCTCTAATTGGCTGTTTAATTCTCAGCAGGTGCAATCTCAATTAACAACGTCTGGTTTCTCGGGCTCCTATTGGCTGACGCGGTGGCCGGTTTTGAATTCCATCCGGGTAATTGGGTCTGAGCAGGCAGCAGCCCCGTCGCTCAGGGGCAGCCCGCTGAAGGATTGGTTGCGGCTCGGCAGACGATTGGTCGGACTGTGAGCCGGGCGTTGATTGGTGCAGGCGGGCTGCGGGGGTGGGGAAGAGGCGGCTGAAGCGGGGTAGGCGGGGCTTGGAGTCGCGGTGCAAGAGGGAGGAGGTGACGGCAGCTGGGGTGAGGTGCGAGGCGGAGCGCGCGACTGCTGAGTCGAGGAGCGGTAAAGGCGGGGACGCGGCGCGGAGGCTTGGGGAGTGCGAGAGGCTGAGCGTGGGGTGCCCGGGCCACAAGCAGGCGGGAAAGTGGGGCCGAGCGAAGGGAGGCGTCCGAGGGCGTGGTCAGCGGAACGCCGGGGCTACTAACGGAATCCAAAGGAAGTGCTCTGGCCCCACCACGAACCCCCAGGCCAGTTTGGACTCTGCGACTGGTGTTTTTGGTCTTTTTTGACACTGAGAACCGCCATCAGTTTATCGGTTTGCCTTTGATTTTTCTCCAGTGTTTTCTTTATGTCTAATAGGATGACTGTTTCCAGTTGTCAGAATATAGTAAATTGGGGTTTTTGTTTGTTTTTCCAGTTTCCCTCCTTACTAATGCTGAAGACTCCCGTGTCAAAGTTACGTTTTTACTCTTTTCACAGCTTGAAGTGGGTTGATGCTTTTTTTTTTTTTTTCCTCCACTCACTGGTTAAAGATAAATGTAGCAAGGATGGGAAAAACTAGCTGTTTCAGTTCCACAAGCCTATCCCCATGTTTTAGCCACTTTGTAGGTTCTGGTTATCAGGAGATACTGGGGATGAGAAATCTCCCCCCCCACCCCCCCCCCCCCCCCCCCCCCGCCTCCGTGGAGCTTGCAGTGATTTGCTAACGATGTTTTTGAAATGATAATGTAAAAGTAAGCCATAGTTATGCATATCAGGTAGTTAGCAACTGTTTCATGTAAATGTCAAATTTCAAAATCAGTATTTACTGAAAACCATTATTTAGTTGAATTTCTTCCCTTGAAATGAGCCACGTGTCTCCTCTTCTTCACTCTGCTTCCCCTGGGAACTATGGTTCTCAGTTCCAACCTCCTTTTCACGTTCATTTTTGAAGTCCTAAAATCAAACACAAGCTGGCATTCAGTACATACAGTTACATCTCCGTTGGTGTCGTGTTATTTCCCACTTAAAGAGACACCGTATGAAATATGTATATTATAAATAAAATCATAATCAAGTAGCTACTCCTTCTTTGAGACCGCTAACTCAATTAGCGCAAACTTCATTTGTAATATGTGAAAAGGAGTTAAGTGGAAATTAGCTTTGGATTCAAAGAAAAGCCGTGCAATAAATTTATCCTGGTCGCGGACATTCATCTTCCCATCACGCACATTCCTTCCACCACCAGATCATTAACATTCTCTCTCAAACACTACATCTACCAGGTGCTCAAATGAAAAACCTGATAGCTCCCTGGCTCACCCTCTAACCTTTCCCTGAATCAGTTGCTAGGTCTTGTGTATTCTGCCTGTCAAAACTACTCTGTCTTCATCATTAACACCTGGACTAGCCTGTGAATTGGTCTCCCTACCCCCACAGTTGCTGCCTTCAATTCATTCTCCTATAGACCGTCAGTCAAGAATTGCAAGCAATGCATGTGTTATGAAGGGATGTTTGGAGAACTATGGAAGCCCATAGTGATAAAACCCCAAGCACAGAAGTTCGGGATTAAGGGGGGTTTGGCTGCAGAGCCAGAGGAATATCATATATTTTTGCCTTGATCTTGATAGTTTCTGAATTGGAGGGGAAATGCTGTTGGGGTTTTTGTTTTGTTTTGAGTCTCCTTAAAGAAGTGCCATTGTGACTGGTCTTCCAACCACTTTGCATACCGCATTGTATGGAAATGACTGTGTAACCTTAGGGAAATCTCTTTATTTCCCTGGGTCTTGGTTTCCCCAGTGGGAACATTATTAGTAGAATTAGATCATCTCTTTGGTTCTTCCAATTCCAAAATTCTGTGATTTTTTTTAGGCATGAATTATAGCCAGAAAAGTGGTGTTGTTAAAAGGCAGACAGCACTCCAGTGGAGATTAAGTTACTGCTCTGGTTCACAGGCCTAGATTTGTTTCCCAAAACCTTCAACACCTACAGACTCCTGCTTGTCAAGATAAAACCTTCCCTGCCTAATAGGAAGTCCCGTGAAGGAGCTACCAAGTCTGTCTGGACTGTTGTATCCCCAGGGCCAAGTACACGTTGGATACTCAATGTTTATTGGTTTGAATGCAGAAGATAAATTCGTATTTTAATGAAGTGGTTTTCAACTCTGTGCCATCTAAGAAACATTTTAAGTTCTCGCTCCTCCAGGCTGCTCCATTAACCAAGTATTTATATTGTCTTTGCATTGCCTGTAATTAGTTGTTTTGGTGTTTATCTTTCCTCCTAGACTTTATTTCAGGGCAAGAATTCTTATTCCTGCTTGTGTCCCCAGCATGTTCAGCCCATAACAAGGAGCCAGCACTCTTTCAGTGAGGCACATTAATAGTGAAGACAAGCTTTGCACTTTAGAGACTGTATGAGAAAATACATGCAGTAACCACTAGATAAAAGAAGGTGAATCTTTCCCAAATACCCAGAATAAACCATCTCGTAATATAAGAAAATAGTTTGAGTTTCAAAAACTCAAGAATGTAAGCAAAAATCCTTGTGAAACAGTTTGTTTCCTTTCTTTTAGTATATGCAAATATGATCCCACCCAAACTTTTATAGAGAGCAGTGAAAGGGTCTATTTACAGCCTAGGAAAAAAAAAAAATTTTTTTTTTTTAATTCAGTTAGGAAAGTAATCTCCTAACTCAAACCCATACTAAACTCCATTCTTCCTACCCACTAAAGAAGAAAAAAATTCCCTCATGTCTGTACTGAATCTCGAAGTGATACACTATATATATTGGACCTACTTACTAAATAATTAATTGCCTGGAATAATGACACTCGAAAAGGGTCACTCACCCAGGTAATACAAGGTTTTTTTCTCTTCAGGGCATGAGTAGGCAAGAGAGTGAATTAAATTTGTTTAAAACTGTTGGTTGAAAACATAGATCTGGCAAACTTCTGGTGGTTGTTTAAAGAACTTTGTTTATTTCTACTGGTCAGTAAAGCTCTATGAGGCCACATGCAAAAATTCGGTCCTCTGTTTAATAGTAGGAAATCCACCTGCGGTCTTGACATGACTTTAATCTGCTCCTTGGAAGGAGATTTCTGTGCAAAGATTTCTTTTCCTTCACTCTTCCTGAAAGGCTTTCAGGAAAAGCACATTTAAAACCAAAGTTTTATTCCTAAGTAGGTCTTTTATTAACGAGTGTTTAGCCTTCCTACGATACAACTAGTGTTTTTAAGGTAAAAAAAAAAAAAAAAAAAACACATTATTTTCTTGGATATTATAATCATTTGGGTTGAATTTTTGTACCTGGAGGCAAATCATAGCATAAATTATATTTCCTCACTCATTTTAAGGCAAGTTTCATTAAAAGCCATGCTGTGTTATACTAGATTGTACTACCTGGAAATAGACACTGTCTTTAGTTTTTTACCAGCTACAGTGCTTTCAGTGTTAAACAAGTATTTGTTAATTTTGAATTGCCAAAGTAGAGACACCCAAGTACTGTTCTGCTGAAAGTTTATGTGAAAGAAAAGGGGGAGGGGCTCCTAAAGTTACTTTGTAAGGTTCTTAATATCCAAATAATACCCAGACTCTGGGTAAGAGATTAGGTGACCTCTCTAAGCATATATACTCCTTCTTACCTTATAGGATTGCATGAAGATCAATTAAAATAATGTATGGAAAGGGCCTAGTGGCATAGTAGCTACTCAGTACATTTATCTCTTCATCTTTGTAATCCTTAGTGCCACAATAGCATTTAGCACATAGAAGTGCTTAATAAATGTGGTTGAATGGCACTGCTGAATCCATTAGTCTAGAAGACACAGGCATAACAGGTACACAGTTGCATACAGTGTGAACAAGTGCCATCAGGGAAGTACCATTTACGGGGCAGCATGAACTAAGAAGAAACCCTAAGCCAGCCAGGGGAAATCCTACAGGCCTTAGAAGGAGTGTACCAGTAGAGCTGAGACTTGAGGAAGGAGTAGGGTTTGCCAGGGAGATCAGATGAGCTAGGGAGTATAAGGAAGACAAGTGACACATGGGTCAGAGTAAGGATATACAGGAGAGCATGTCCTTTTCCCCTAGTAGCAGTGGGGTTAGAATAGAAGGCTGCGAAGGTAGTAGGCAGAGATCAGATGATAAAGAACTTATATGCCATTAATGACTTTTCATGAAAGCAACAGTTGTTGAAGTTTATTCATTTAACAAATGATTATTGACTGGCTACTGTGTGCTAGGCACTGAAGAATGAAAACATTCCTGCCCTATAGAATTTACATTCCAGTGGATATACAATCAAAACGAAGACCTCGCAAGTCATTATAATAACTTTGGCTTAGAGTCATAGTGAGATTGAAAACCACTGGAAGGTTTTCAGTGGAAGAGCAACATTATCTGACTTACTCCAGCTGTTGAGAATAAACTGGACAATGGCAAATGCTGGGATATAATTGATTGCGATTTGGGCAAGAGATAGTGATGTTTAAAGCAAATGGTGGTCATAGCAGTGGAGTGGTAAAATGTCAGATTCTGGATAATTTGAAGGTAGAACGAATAGGATTTGCTGATAGCCTGGAGGTGCTATTTGAGGAGTAACCTGAGCAAAAGAATGGAGTTACCATTTACTGAGTCAGCCAAGACTACAGACAAGTGTTGCACCTGTTGAGTTTGAGTTTGAGATGCCTATTAGACATCCAGTGGAGATGTTGTCTCCCAGACATTTACGTATACAAACCTGGAGTTCAGGAGAATGTTCCTAATTGGATCTATGAATTTGGGAGTTCTCAGCGTAGATGGGATTTAAAGCCAAGCTGTGAATGAAATTTGGCAAGATCACCAAGGAAGTGAGGAGAGGAGAGGGCAAAGGACAGAGCCCTGGGGCACTGCAGTATTTAGAGGTTACAAGAAGGAGAAGGAAACTGACCAGTAGAGCAGCCAGAAAGGAGAAAGAAAAACCAGGAGAGTGCTGTCATGGAAGCCAAGTGAAGAAAGGGTCTCCGAGCAGGGGGGATCCCCAGCTGTGCCAGATGTGGGGGCAAGGGCAGGTAGAGTGAAGACCTTAGCAATGTGATGTCACTGGTGACCTTGGAAAGAGCAGCGGGAGTGGGTTCAAGAAGAGAAATTGAGCACAGAAGTATTGGCACTTGTGAGTTTTCCTGTAAAAGGAAGGGAAGAAATGAAGTATTTGGAGGAATAAGTAGAATCAAGAGTTTTAAAGAAACTAGAAACAGTGGTATGTTTGCTGATGGAAAGATCCAGTAGAGAGGAAGACCTTAACAATGTATGAGAAGGAAGGAGAGCGACACTTTTATGAGAGACTTCAGTGCCCAGAACAGAAACGGTTCATCCATGGTTACAGGAGAGAAGGTAGGGATTTGGGCATAGATAGAAGTAGATGGGTAAATGTGGTGGAACTTGGCTAATGTTTTCTCTGAATGCTCTACTTTCTCAGTGGCGTAGGAAGTGAAGAGAACATGATTTGAGAGTGAGGATGGAGAAGGAGGCACTAGAGGCTTGAGAAGAGACCGTATGAATTGCCTGGGAGGGTGAGAAAGACTAGAGAATAAGGAAGTATAGTGAAGATGTTAAGATTAGCTAGGCAGCAAAATGAAGGTACAGAGTCAGACTAAGCAAGAAGGCTGTTGCAGTGGTCTGAATGAGATTCAATGAGCTTCTGAATCAGGTGCTGTGTTGTTGGAGTTACTAGCATATAGGTAGTAGTTGAGGCTGCAGGTGTGGATGAAATTGCCCAAAGACAGCAGAGTGACAGTAGCAGTGGATAGAGGCCACAGGAAAACAAGACCAAAACCACAAAGGCACCTCCAGGGCAAGAGAAGGAGAAGCCAAGAGAAGAAGGGCACATAGGGGAGATTAGGTAGGGCTTATACGTGCCATCTCTGTTGGCTACCTAGGAGGTTGTCATTTCGGTAAAGGAGTAGGGCAGACCTCCTTCCAGTGTTCGCTGAGGAATGACTAGAAATCAGGAGTATAGATAAAAGAAAATGAAGTGGAAGCAGCAGAGTCTAGAAGTCGAAGGGAGGAGAGCCTGAAAGGCCTAGAAAGCTATTCCTTGCAGAGACAACAGCTTCTGGAAAGGCCTAGAGACATGGAGAGCACAGATAAGGAATTTGAAGCAGTCTGATGTGAAATTTAAAGGTGTATTTTTGTAATGTTTGATTCATATAATAATTTTTTTATTCCTTTGTCCTATAAAGTCGTGATCAACGTATAGTTCTCCCTAGGAGGGGGGAAGGAATGAAGTATGCCTCTGTTGTGTATGTCCTTTAGCAACTTTTAAAAAATACCGAGACCTTTTTACATGAAATAGATTTTGGGAAAAAAAGATTTTGATACTGCTCAAGCTCTTGATATGGGAAGGTAGGCAGTATTCAATAATATTGAAGTAGTATTCTTTTCAATAATATTGTCATATGTTCCCATGCTTCTCTGCCAGTTGTAAAGGTTGGGATGAAATTGCTTCTTTTCCCTCATTTGCTTATTTCAGGATGTAAGTCAGAATACAGCAGAAAATGTCCACTGAACGAACTTCTTGGACAAGTTTGTCCACTATTCAGAAAATAGCGCTGGGCCTCGGGATCCCAGCCAGTGCAACAGTTGCCTATATCCTATACCGCAGGTACAGGGAGAGCAGAGGTATGTGGACCCCCGGCTGTAAATATGGAAATGTTCAGGCTGTGCTCTGGCCTTGTTAAATTGAAATGAAAATTTTCCTTGTTGGACTGGGTATGTCTATTGGGATGTAATTGGCTTTCTGTGAGGGGGTCTTTGAAACTGTTTGGTTTCTTCTTTTCTGTGTTCTTAATGTGAAGCTAGTCTGTGGAATGAAGAACTCCTAATTCTATTCTCTGTTCCCTTCAGCAACAGCAGCACTGCAATGGGGTTCTTTTTCTTTTTTAGTATCTATAGATAGTAAAGAGTATAATCTCTTTTTTTACAATAGTTTTTTTTTTTAATGTTTATTTTTGAGAGAGAGAGCATGTGCCCCCAAGCGGGGGAGGAGCAGAGAGCGAGAGGCAGAATCTGAAGCAGGCTCCAGGCTCTGAGCTGTCAGCTCAGAGCCCAACATGGGGCTTGAACCCACGAACCGTAAGATCATGACCTGAGTCGAAGTCAGACATTTAACCAACTGAGCCTCCCAGGCGCCCCATATACTCTTATCTTTTTTATATGCTTTTTGCATTTAGTTGTTAGAAAGCTAACCATGGGGTCCAGCTTCCACACAGGCTGAACCTAGAGAAAGGATTTAGGTACAAGCAGAAGTTCTGAGCCCAGTGTATTCATTGGGCAATTTAGCCTTTGTTCTTCTCCAGGAGTCCTATCTTGGGAGACACAGCTTACCCAAAATCCAGCACCCCTTTCTTGCAGAGCCAAATGCTTTTCCCATTTTAGCATCTGAAACAGTATCCCAGAGACAATGCCTATCTTCTGGGACCCTCTAATTCCTACTCAGGTGCTACTTTTCTTTGTCATTATGGTTGAGATCCTTAGTCTGTCTTGTGGATCAGTCTCTTTGACACCTAGTTTCAGGGGAGGGCTGGGGTACTTGGATGCTATCTGAGTCTGATCTGATGAGCCATGATCTATGCAGAAGAACGGTTGACATTTGTTGGGGAGGATGACATCGAAATAGAGATGCGAGTTCCCCAGGAGGCCGTAAAGCTCATCATTGGCCGGCAAGGAGCCAATATTAAACAGGTAAGTGTGTAAGCAATTGGCTTTCCCAGGGATTGATTCTGCTTAATAACTTCTTCCCTCCTCTGCCCCCATCCCACAAAAGCCACCTGCACTATGTAGGTCTTTAAAAGAAAAAAATAAAGGAACATTTAGCTAACCATGCTCTTTTCCTTCTAAAGAAGAGTACTTCTCCCCAGAGCATGCATGACTTAGCTTGAAATGGGGATTTTTTTTTAAATGTTTATTTTAGAGAGGCAGAGAGAGTGAGCATGCACGCGTGAGCAGGGGAGCAGCAGAGAGGGGAACAGCAGATCCTAAGTGGGCTCTGCGCTGACAGCAGAGAGCCTGCTGTGGGGCTCGAACTCACAAAATGGGAGAGCATGATCTGAGCCGAAGTCAAGGCACTTAACTGAGCTACCCAGGTGCTCTTGAATTTTTTTTTTTTTTTTAATGTTTGTTTATTTTTGAGAGAGAGTGCGAGCAGGAGAGGGGCAGAGAGAGAGAGAGAGAGAGACACAGAATCTGAAGCAGGCTCCAGGTTCCGAGCTGTCAGCACAGAGCCTGACCATGAGATCATGACCTAAGCTGAAATCGGACACTCAACTGACTGAGCAACCCAGATGCCCTGAAATGGGAATTTTTGATTGTGTGATTCTAAACTTGGTGCAGTCTGAACCATTCTTTTCTACTGTGGAATTAATTAGCTCTCATTAATTGATAGTAAATATTGAATTGGCCTAATTTTTCTTATTATCTATTCAGTTTGTTAAGAAAACAAAATATTGGATTCTCTGATCCAAATAAAATGAGAGGGAAAGAGGGTTCTAAATACAAAGAGAGTGGTGCCTGGTTGGTTAGTTAGTTAGTTAGAAGCTTAGTTGGTTAAGCTTCTGACTTTGGCTCAGGTCATGATCTTGCAGTTTGGTGAGTTCAAGCCCTGCATTGGACTCTGTGCTTGACAGCTCAGAGCCTGGAGCCTGCTTCAGATTCTGTGTCTCCCTCTCTCTATGCTCCTCTCCCGTTTGCACTCGTGCATGCTCTCTCAAAAATAAATAAGCATCTAAAAATTTTTTAAAAAATATAAAGAGAAACTGTTTTGAATGAACTATTATTTGGGGTTACCTTTGTCACTAATCGCCTTTCATCAGTACAGATAGTTGAGGACAGCTTATAGCATCTTGATTTAACTGATAACTGTCCAGTTCCATCTACTTCCAGGGTTAAGTTGAAAGTATACCTAGCTGACCCAAATGGGAGCTATTCCAGAGCGGACTGCCACGTATCCTTTTCTCTGCAGCTGCGGAAACAGACAGGTGCTCGGATTGATGTGGACACAGAGGATGTAGGCGATGAACGGGTGCTGCTTATCAGTGGGTTTCCTGTGCAGGTGTGCAAGGCCAAAGCAGCCATCCATCAGATCCTGACAGAGAATACCCCTGTGTCTGAGCAGCTTTCTGTTCCGCAGAGATCCGTGGGCAGGATCATAGGTACCACTGGACAGCTTCTTCTGCTGGTTCCTTTTTCTTTCACCTTTGCCTTCCTTTCATACCTTCCCAAGGGTTTTTCCTGGCCTTCTTCCCCATCACCTTCCTGAGGGAGCGTGGGGAGACAGGAACATTGAGACCAGAGCTGTACATTTTTACAGAAGCAGTGGTAAACCCAAACCCCATTACCCCAAGAAGCTATATGGTCTGAACTTTACAAATAGGCTCCAGAAGGGTTCAGGTAAATGTATTTACCTCACAATAGATTTTTAAAGGAGAGCTAAGCCTGCTCATATTTATCCCAGATCTTTCAAGACCATGCTCTTCCAGAGAGCACCTGCTATGCCTTCCCCTAGAGCAGTCCTTATGCTTCTCCTAGAGGCAGAGAATTGTCCATTCTTGCCTCAGTGCCTCTCACACTGTGTAGGATATCTTCTAATAAAGTGCAGATATAAAGTGTGCTGAGTGGCCAAAAAATGGGAATGACGTGAAGTACACTAAATGTTTAGAGTTTAAGTAAAGCAGAAAGAGAAGATTGTCCCTGTTCCCCTTCATATAGTAAGGATTGCAATAGTTCCTGCTTTCTAGTCAGTATCTTACATTCTGTTCACTTTGAAAATAAGAACAGACTCTCCTCTCCTAGTATATACAAAATAGTGATTTTTCTAGTGGTTAAAGCTGGCCAAGAGAGAAGGACAGGTTTTTATGTGTTTTTCAATGCAGGGAGGGGTGGCGAGACAATTCGTTCTATCTGTAAAGCCTCTGGAGCCAAAATTACCTGTGACAAAGAATCAGAGGGGACGCTACTACTATCAAGGCTTATAAAAATCTCAGGAACACAGAAGGAAGTGGCAGCAGCCAAGGCAAGTAGTTAATAGACTTGAATTGTGTCTAAGAATGAGAAGAATCCTTTACTCCACCCTGGGTCAAAATATGTGGCCAAATCGATCTCCTCTCTTATTTTCCACAGCATTTGATACTAGAGAAAGTTTCAGAAGATGAAGAACTTCGGAAGAGAATTGCTCATTCTGCAGAAACCAGAGTCCCACGCAAGCAGCCAATCAGTGTAAGAAGAGAGGAAGCGATAGAGTCTGGTGGAGCTGGAGAGCCAGCTTTGTGGAAGAGCACTGATACTGGTGCCGGACTGGAGCCGGCTACACCACTGAGAGTTCCTCCCCGAAAAGGAAGCGGTGACATGGCTGTCGAAGGGCCGGAAGGTGCTTGGGAGAAACCTAATGGGGACAGCTTTCAGAAATCTGGAGCCCAGACCAGTCCAGAGATGTCCATGTTTGAAAGTATGTAACAAATGGGAACCCATTTACCATATGAAAGGTAGAAATACTGGCTTAGACAACCTAAAAAAGGAAGCAGTGAAAATAATTTCTGTTTTCTTGACTGCACTTATGAGCCTCTTCACAGAAGTCATTTTGTGTGGTGATATTTTACTTGGGTTACTACTAACCATGAATAATTTTCAGAACACAAACCAGACTAGTGATGGAGAATGATAATATACTAGTGAAATATACTAGTTCACAGGAAGCTAGTCTGAGTAATATATCAAGTAATTGAATTTACATGGTATTCATTTCTAAACAGATTTATTAAACAAGTAAAATACTCAGCCTGATTTTTTTTTGGCTTATCTCATTACTGCTTTTAAAAATGATCACCATTCAAGGAGGATGAAAAGATTGTGAGCATTCTCTTCTGTGCATAGGTTTGGGGATGGACGGGGAAGACCAGGCCCCCTAAGAGGTTCATAGACTTGTTTGGGGGTCACACAATGAGTCAGTGATAGAGTAGGATCTGAACAGGCCCACATCTTTCCTTTGGTCCATGTTGCAGTTATAATTGATGTCTGATTTGAATACATGGCAGATGACTAGAAGTGTAAACTTATTACTCAGTTACATAGAACGGTACACAGCTCAGCTTAGCACCTTTCTTCAGGATGTTCTTATATGAATCATTCAGTTGTCCCTCCAGCCATTTTTTAAATGGTGATAGCCACTTGGTTATTTTTGTAACTCTCGCTTCTGATGCAGTCTGCCTTTTTTTTTTTTTTTTTTTTTTAGAGCACAAGCGGGGGAGAGGGGCAGAGAGAGAGAGAGAGAGGGAGAGAGAATCCTAAGTAGGCCCCGTGCTGTGTGTGGAGCCTGATGCAGGGCTCAATCCCACAACCCTGGGATCATGACCTGAGCTGAAATGAAGAATGGGATACTCAACCCACTGAGCCACCCAGGCACCTCCAGTCTCCCCATTTCAACCATAGTTTTAATATGGTCACCAGGTTAGATGGTGAGGATTCTGTAGCTTAACTTGCTTATCCCTGTGTTTAGTCCCTAGTCCTGACTTCAGTTTCCATGCTGATGAGTTCCTGGAAGTCTACGTGTCTGCCTCTGAACACCCTAACCACTTCTGGATCCAGATCATTGGCTCCCGCAGTCTGCAGCTGGATAAGCTTGTCAGTGAGATGACCCAGCACTATGAGAACAGTCTAGTGAGTTACTGTAGGGACAGGGTTGGGTTTGATGAAAAGGGGGCCTTTTTTATTGTGATATGTTCTCTTTTTTTCCTAGGGAATAACTACTTGTTCTTTCTCCTCCTCGTATTTACTGCTTATCTGTTTTTTAGCCTGCCCATCCTAACTCTCCCAATCCTGATCCCCCTCCTCATGTGCAGCCTGAAGACTTGACTGTGCATGTGGGAGACATTGTAGCAGCACCTCTACCTACAAATGGCTCCTGGTACCGAGCTCGGGTCCTTGGCACTTTGGAGAATGGGAACCTGGACCTGTACTTCGTTGACTTTGGAGATAATGGCGATTGCCCACTGAAGGACCTCCGGGCACTCAGGTTAGTGTGGAGACCGGGGTGGAGTCCCAGCTGTTAACTCAGCCCTGGCCATCGCAGGTGGTGTGCTCTTGGCACTCATCACTGGGGGGTTGGGAAGAGAGCCTGCTGACAGAGAGCAGATGATTATCTTCTCCCTTGGGTTCATTGGTGATGTCTAGAAACACAGACTGTAAGAGGCCCTTCTGGCACTGGGATTCTAATTTGTTTCTTTCCTTTAGGAGTGACTTCCTAAGTCTTCCATTTCAAGCAATAGAATGTAGTCTGGCACGGATCGCCCCCTCAGGTAAATTGGTCACAATACCTATTGACCTTACCTCCAAATAAAATAACTTCCTTCTAGAACTTGGCAGGATTTCTCACATTCCCAGGCTTTTTGAGTTCTGGGCACTCAGTTGTCTTTTCCCTCCCAACAGTAGAAAGCAGTAACCAGGAACACACCTGGCAGGCAGACATAGGTGTCTTTTGGAGTAGAAATAGGTGGGTATAATCTCATCCCATCAGTAGGGACCCCTTCTTAGGTTCTCCCTGCAATCTTTTGCCAGGTGAACAGTGGGAAGAGGAAGCTTTGGATGAGTTTGACAGACTCACTCACTGTGCTGACTGGAAGCCCCTGGTGGCTAAGATCTCCAGCTATGTCCAGACTGGGATCTCAACTTGGCCCAAGATTTACTTATATGATACTAGCAATGGGAAGGTATGACTGGGGTCTACTCATTGCTCACCGTCTCGTCAGTATATTTATATCCTCATTCACTTTTTCTTTCCCAGAAGCCCTTATCTGATATTTGCTATTATTCCTGCCTCCTAAGATCCTGCTTACTGAAGGAATGTCTTTAATTTTTTTTTTAATGTTTGTTTATTTTTGAGAGACAGTGTGAGCGGGGGAGGGGCAGAGAGAGAGAGAGAGAAAGACACAGAATCTGAAGAGGCTCCAGGCTCTGAGCTGTCAGCACAGAGCCCGACACGGGGTTTGAACTCACAAGCTACAAGATCATGACCTGAGCTGAAGTCGGACGCTCAACTGACTGAGCCACCCAGGCACCCCTGAAGGAATGTCTTTAAAGTATCACTCCTAACCCTGCTGTCCTGGTTCCTCAGATATGCCCCTCTCTACAGAGAACATCATTCCCTTTGCATTTTTCTTCTCAGAAACTTGATATTGGGTTAGAATTAGTTCGTAAAGGATATGCAGTTGAACTTCCTGAAGACATGGAAGAAAACAGAGCCATCCCAGACATGTTGCACGATGTGGTGAGTACATGTAATGTGCTGCCCTGGGGCGAGTCTGCCCCAGGAGACGGGAGGGCTTCTGGTCACACGTGACGTGCTATGGAGGGCTTTCCTAAGAGGGCATCCTTGTTCCTCTCAGCTATCTGACTCCACTGCCTTAACCAGAGCCTGAGGACAAAATGAGAGGGCGGCCTCTCCTTTCCCACCAGCCACTACAGTCTTCTTCTCTTGTCTTCATCCCTGCAGGCCACAGAAACAGAGGTCTCTCTCGGCAGCATGCTCGCTGAGACCAGGAAGAGCCCTGGAGAAATAGCAAATACCCTGTCCTGCCTCAGCTTGTCAGGTACAAACTGCATTTCCTCCCCAGAGCATCTTTGGGAATTACTGGTTTTCAGTGGGTCTCTCCAAACTAGGGACAATGTTAAGACTTAGCTCTTAAAAAGCGGCCACGGGGCACCAAGAAGTCCGTATTCCCTGAGTCTCAGTGGCCATGCCTAACTTCCTCCCCTTTCTGCTAAGCAGAAGCTGCCTCTGTGTCTGGTGATGATAATCTTGAAGAGGACTACTTACTATGAAGTCAGCTGACGCCGTCTGCTGTGCCGTGTGAGTGCACCTCTCCTCTGTCTAGCAACAGGAAAGTAACCAGGGGGATAGCTGGGGCTTGCTCTGTCCTCCCTTCCCTAGCCCATCTTAGCATGACTACAGCTGCTTTCCTGCAGTTTCACTCGTTCTCAGGTTGAGCCTATTCAGACTTTTGTGTCTATGTGTTTGTGTCTTGGCAGGATTTGGTGCCTGGAGAGAGGAGCCTATGATAAAGGGATCTATGCAGTCCTTCCTCCATTACCTACATGATCTGGCTTGCTGTGGACCAAATGCATGCTCTCCTTCTGTTGGACTACCACAAAGAGTGTGGGGTGAAGAAGAGGACAAGTACATGTCCCTTCTCCACCTGCCCGACCCCATCTTCTTCGAGTTTGCTTCCAGGCTGCTCAGCCTCTGGTCCGCTGCTCTCTGCCAGGCGATTATTGTATGCTTCTGCAAGGCTGTGTCCTTTTTGAGGCTGGAAAGCAGCCAGGTTTTGGTCAGTGGAAGTGATGATTCTGCAGACTTCTGACTCACCTCCTCAGGTGACTCTGTTAATTAAAGGAGGTTTTTGAGTGATTAGCTCAAAGACCGCAGTTGAGTTGGGAGGCACAGGCACAAATCAGCATGATTAAAAAGCCTCAGGAAATGGGAAAGAACACTGCCTCCCAGCCTCAACTGCTGAAATGTTATTGGAGGTAGGTTTTTTGAAACAGTGCTCCAGCTATTTCCCTGTTAACTTTGGTTAAAATACAAGTTAGACAAAGAGAGGGCATTTCAGGAAATACTCTAAAGTGCTAGTGTAGTATCTATATGTATACACACACACACCTCCATGAAGTGAAAGAGAACTTCCATAGCCGTTTAAATCATTTGGGGGATTCTTTGATGAATAAAGTTCTCAAGAAAGATCTAAAACTAAATGTTGGTTGAATCAAGGTAGAAGCAGGACTATGGGTCCTGGAATTTGTCGCACACCTTACATGGTGGGCCCGTCTTTGAAGCGAGTGTCCATCCCATGCACAGATCCTATCCTTTCCCTAAAGGTATTTCAGAATTAAACATTCACTAAGAACCAAACCAGTTTAGGTTTGGGCTTTGTGAATAAGGACCCCACCCAAACTAGGTATTTGGAAGAGGCCTGGGTTCTGGTAGGTCTCCACCATGACCTTACTGTAAGCCTTCGGGAGGCCATGTCTTCACACACCCCTGCATCGTGGCCAGTAGCATTCAGCCAGTGAGAGCTGTGAAAGGGACTTGGCAGCAAGTGTAAGTGTGTAGTACTGCGAGTGGTGGGGTAATGGCCGATGAACAGGGAGGGCTTTTTAAGGATCTGTAAGATGAACTACAAAACTTAAAACTAGCACATGAGGATGCTTTATGCAGGGTTTTGTTTTTTTAATCTAGTAATTAGGCCTACCCATATACCGCATGGGTTTTACCATAGCCAAAATTTTTTTTTTTTTTTAATTTTTTTTTTTCAACGTTTATTTATTTTTGGGACAGAGAGAGACAGAGCATGAACGGGGGAGGGGCAGAGAGAGAGGGAGACACAGAATTGGAAACAGGCTCCAGGCTCTGAGCCATCAGCCCAGAGCCTGACGCGGGGCTCAAACTCACGGACCGCGAGACCGTGACCTGGCTGAAGTTGGACGCTTAACCGACTGCGCCACCCAGGCGCCCCAAAATTTTCAAAATTTATTTTCTCAGAAAACTCTCAGTACCGTGTGTTAGAGAAAGGCTCTAGTGAAGGAGCATCTCTGATGAGTTTGTGGGATCTTGGAAGAATCCTTGGAGGGTTGCCATTGATTTGACAAGGTTTCGGACCTTGGCTGCAGTGAACTACCGCGGTGCCCCCCCCCCCCCCCGCGCCCGCCCCGCCCCGGGGGTGGGATCTGCTCCCCAACAGGGTCAAGAGGCCCACTAGTCAGTCACCAGGCTCCTCGGCCCCTTGGCCTTCACTCTTAGAGGCCCTGATGTAATTCATTGGTAGGACTTCTTGCTGAGGAAAACAAGCAGTGCCTCATTCTTAGCCGTGGCTTCTTCCCGTGAGTACAAGTCTGTTCCATTTATGTGGCCTTTATGTCTCATCAGTTCATGTCCCAGTTGGATGGGCTCCAGCACACCCTGTCCTTGTCTGGAACACCCTCTTCTATTCCATATTTCTTATTTTGTCTTTTGAAATCCTCCCCTTGAGCCAAAGCTGTGGGGTCCAGCTACCTTCTTGGATTTTCTCCACATCCAAAGAGAAGGAATTCATACTTGTCTCTAATCCAATCTGAAATATGTGAAGGAAAAACTCCCAACAAGGCTTGTCTTTCTGAATTCCCTAGTCCCTGGCTTTTGCTCTTGGCAAGTACACAGTTACTGGTTAGAATAAGTAAATGGATTTTGGAGTAGAGGGGAAAGCAAAGGAACCTAAAATCCTTGGCTCTCTTCCCTCTCTGACTTTTCCATCATTAAACGTTTATTCTATAGTGAATTCAGTTCTGTAAGGCTAATGTTCCACTACAGCCAACCCTGCCTTCCCCCACACCCCCAAGAAATAGTGAACACTTGAGGATTGCACTACCCTTTATTTCTAGGATGAAAGGTGTCCTGAATCACATCCTGGTTCCCACTGGTCAAGGCTCCCAGCCCCTCAACAGGAATACGCATGTTCAGGGAGGCTCACTGGGCAGGTGGCCAAGTTCCCTTTCAAGGGGATACACCATAAAGATGACATTGTCCCAGGGAGGGAGGACAGGGTGATCTGGTCTGACCACCTCAAAGCCCATGTAGCTGAAGGCCCGTAGCAGGGCACCTGTGAAAAAAAAATTAGAACATTTTTTGAGGCTCTATACAACTTTCCCTGGATTTGGCTTCTTTAGGGAGTGGCTGAAGGGAAGCCATGTAGTGCAAGCATTAGGGTGATCTGCTTTGGACTAACAAACCTAACTCCACCCCTGGCTCTAAGGCTTGCTAAGCTTTGTGACACTACAAGTTACCCTTTCGGAGCTTTAGTTTTCCCTTTATAAGATGGTGATCTTCCTCAGAATTTGATTAAATAAGATGATCATGAAATGCCTAACAATGATGGTGTACTAAGCTCTTGACCATCTTCTGTCCCACAGAAGCGGGGGAGGAGGAGGGAGGAGGTCGTAGTTTGTGGAACGTGTGCTCCAAGCATCCGGATAAACCCATTCCTATCTTCCAGGCCCTATACCCAACACTTTCACACTGTAGGTGCTTAATACATTTGAGGTCCTTTCTGTCCTACCAGCTACATGCCTTGAATAGTTCTGTTAATGTCACCAGTGCTTCCTTGGTCTGGCTTCTGAAATCTACCTTCGAGGCTTTCCTCATAATCCAAGTGTAATCTGAGAACAGAGTGCTAGTTGCCTTCATTTCCTTGGAACGGGGGTGGGGATGATGGTGGTTAAATCCCTGAAATGTGTATGAGTGTGATCTTTTAAAAAGTCGGGGAAGAGGGTCTCCTACAAAGGAAAAGTTGCTGTCAACTACTTCAGCACTAGGGGCCAGGAAGGACTGCCAATCCCTACCTCTGTCATTCCGGTTATTTTGGAAGCTTACAAACACCAAGTCCACGTTGGTCTTCTCCTCCACATACTCCAGTGTTGCAGTCAAACTAGGGGCCAGAAAGAGGAATCCTAGTTGATGAAATATTTAGTGAATTCAAAATCCAAACACCTACTTGAGTAGAAGAAACCTCATGGCTCAATTTTTTCCTGACCCAAGCCAGGAAATGAAATTTGATAAGCTGGTGTTGGTAAATGTTTCTCCGAAGCCCAGGGATTACAACAGGACTGACCTCCATATCCTAGAGGGGCCTGGGGAGAAGGAGCCACTCTAGAAAGTCCGAAGACATATCCCGTTGTTGATCCTCACTTCTGTGTTTCTGAATCAGGGTCCATCAATCTCCCTGGGGGCTCTTCTCCCTTGAAGCCCAGATCCTGGCTCAGCTCACAGGCTTGCCTGCATGCCAGTTCGGTGGTGTGAAAGTATCTAGCTCCTGAATCCACCCTCATGGGTTAGCACGCTCACCACCTGATTATGACATGATGAAAGAAGGGACCCTCCTGCCTCTTCCCCGCTCACCCACCCCGCTTTCCTATCAGGGCTCAGTCACCTTTCCCAGTTGCCTTGATCCAAGGCCTGATATGGGATATCCAGGAAGAGTCGATGATCACAGAGAAGGCCGTGCCAATGGGTAGAGGTTTGGGGGGTGCAGCGGAAGTGGAAGTCTAACTGTACTGGATCCTGGTGAAGCAGGGGGTCAGTAGCCAGCACCGTCAGGTTCCCAGCCTGGAAAGGGAACAAAAGAGTAACACAGTCTCCTGTTCTCATCTAGTCCTCAAGTCAGATCTCAGGCCAATTTGGCTGTGTCTGAGGAAGCAAATTTGGGGCTGACCGAATTGGAGCCAAATCCTCACTCTGTCCCTTAGTCCTAGGACCTAATTCTCTATTGTGGAGTTTTCCTTGATACCAATCTGGAAAGCAGTCAATGCAGTTGCAGTATCACTGCCTGCTAACCTCACCCGAGGGGTGCACCAACACTTCAGAAACATATTTACATCACAGAGCTTTGTTTTTGTTTTTGTTTTGTTTTTAAGATTTTTAATCACACCCAACATGGGGCTCGAACTCACAATCCCGAGATCAAGAGTCGCATGTTCCACCAACTGAGCCAGCCAGGCACCCCTAGGGAGCTTATTCTTTAAACAATGCCATGTCATCTGTTTACGGACTCACCGTGCTCTTCCACTTTTTTTACATCATGGGGGTTTTCTCTGAATTCTCGGATTTCTCAGTTAAAATGCAGAGGTCACCCACAGGCATGTTATTGTAGTATGGTACAGGGCCAAGTCGAGGAGTTCTAGGTTCTAGTCCCCTCTTGGCATCTAAACAAGTTTCCGTCCCAGAACTCTTAATTCGTTCTGCTCTTTGTTCCAACCTCCTCTTTCCCCATCCTGCTTCTCACCACCAGCTCTGTGATCTTGACTTAATATCTCTGGGCCAGAATCCTTGTTTCCAAAGCAAGTAGCTGTTCTGCATGAGCCTCGAGATCTAAAATTTGTTCTCCAGTTAGCTAATTATGCCCCTTCTCCCTAAGGTGTCATTACAGCAAGCCAGGGGCCGCCCCCGGACAGCATCAGTGTGCAGTCCACTTACCGAGTATAATTCTTTAAGCTGGTCGTGGTCACCCTGCTCGGTGCTTCTGACCCCCTGGAGGCCTGCTGGGGACTCAGGAGCACTGAAGGCAGTAACGGGGCCGGAGTGTCAAGTCCTCCCGTTCCTTATATATGATGCTGGTTAGGAAAAGGGGGCCCAAATTAATTTACCTCTGCATCTGAGAAGGGGAGGGGTTCATAACTTCCAGGTACATAGGACCAGGCTCTGGCACTATCTTTTGTGGATGAGCTTATCTGCTTCCATTCTCCCAGGCCAGCCAGGTGGGAAAATTTTAAGTTCCATGCCAGCCTTCCATCCTATTTTGCTATTATTATCTCTTGCCACTTGGGAAGTTCCTTCAAATTCTCTTATTTTTCCTGACAGTTTATGTAAACAACTACAAGTAGAGAGGAAAACAAGTACCTTTTATAACAAGGCAGCATCTTCTCCCGGAGGGTGATCCGGTATTTGTAACAGTAAAGGTAATAGGCGTATGGTGACCAGATCGGGTAGAGGTAGTTCCGTGTTTTTCCCCTCTTGATATAAGAAAGGGAGAAGATAGAAGGGCGCAACCTGTTACAAGGCAGTTTCTCAGTTCAGTGCCTCCCTGCGGCAAAGTGAGGTTCAGAGATGAGTGGCAGGGGTTCAGGCAGCCTGGTGTCATTGTGACCCGGTGGGCACTATGACATGGGCAAAGGGTCAGCCCTATGTCACTTCAAGACTCCACTCTGCTGCTCCTCCACCCCACCCAACCCCCTTAACTAAGCCTCCTACTCACCTAGTATGTACTTCATGGCTGTACCAGTGATTTTTTTTTTTAATTGTACCAGTACTTTAGCTTCTGTACTGATTGAATAGCCCTGCCTGAACACTTGTTGAGTGCCCTCAACCTGGCCCCTTATTGCAGCGGCATGCGTGCATGTGCGCACACTCATGTAACACACACCACACACATCCCACTTCAGCAACTAAATGGTTTCTGACACTGTAGGTTTCCAAAGCCCTGATCCAGTGCCTGACTTGATTCATTGGTTCTCAGTTCCTATCAATTCAATATTTTTATTGTCATCCCTACCTTTAATGATCCAGGGGTGCTACACATTGTTGAACTTTCTCATTGCCCTGGAGGGTAGAAACTGCAAACTATAAATGCCTTAGGAGCCAAGACAGCTAATGGAAATTAATGGAGCTGCTGGGTGGGGCTGTAGCAAAATGGAAAGCTCATATACTGTCTAAAATAAGCTGACACTCAGTTTCATCCAGTTGCAGAAATGCAGACTCAGTGCTTCCAGATGATATGATTTTTCAACATAAAATGGAAAGATAGATTTTTGTGCTAAATTCCTCCAAATTTTTAAAAGGAGTGGTTATTAAAAAATAAAAGCTGTTGATTAAAAAAATCAACATTGTGAGCAAAATTTGATTCTGGGGCCACCAGTTTGAGACCTCTGCATATTCATTCACTCGTTTCATTCAACAAATATTTATTGAAGGCCTACTGAAAGCCAGGCAGAATTCTAGGTGCCGAGATCCACCAATAAACGAAGATCCCTGCCTAATGGAACTTAGCTTCTAACAGTGAGAAGACAAAACAGTAAACATTGTAAGAAAACTTAGGATGTTCAGTGAGAACTGCTATGGAGAAAAGAGCAGGATAAAGGAAGGTCAGGAGGTGAAGGGGGTGGGGCAGGCTGGGGAAACAAATACAGTGATCCAAGTAGGCCTCCTTGAAAAGATGGCATTTAATCGAAGACTTAAAGGAAGTGAGGGAGTCAGCCAAGCCAGCATCTGGGGATAAGAGGATTCCGTGCCTATGCAACAGTGGATGTAAAAGCCCTGAAGAGAGTGCCCGGTGTTTTCAAGAAACAGCAGGGAGGCTGCGGTGTAAGTTCTGAGGAAAGCAGGAGGTGAGGTCAGAGAGCTAATGGGCCAGATTTGGGAAAGCCTTGTAGACTACAGTGTGAGGGAAGTCACTGTGAAGTTTTGAGTAGAGGAGTGATATGATATTATCTATGTTTTTTAAAAGATCCTGACTGTTGTGTTGTAAATAAACTGGGGAGCATTAAAGGAGATTTGCCAAGAGACTAACTACTACAGTGATCCAGGAGAAAGATGGTGTCTTATTCCAGGCTGAAGCACTGAAGGTGGTGCGAAGTGGTTGGATTCTGGAAATCGTTTAAAGATAGAACCCACAGGATTTCCTGGAGCATGAGAGAAAGAAGTTGAGTCCAAGAACTGAAAGAAGTTTCCATCAGCTGAGATGGGTAAGGTTGCAAGGTGAGACAGTTTGAAGCAGGCTCTAGAGACGGGTTTAGTTTGGAGCATATTAACTTTGAAGTGTCCACTAGACACACAAGAAGAGGAGTAAGCAGCAGGCTATTCGAGTTGGGCGAAGTTAGGAGAAGTCTAGGATGGAGAACTTTGGAAGTCATCAAGACTGAAGGAGATCAAAGCGGGGGTATATACTGTGAAGAGTAAAGATCCAAAGACTGTCCTAGGCGGCACCCTAAGAAGTTCGGAGAAAAGGAAAAAACAGGCAAGGAGACTGTGAAAACTGGTGAAGTAGGAAGAAAACAAAAACAAAACTGGTGTCCTGGAAGCTAAGCGAGGAAAGCGCAATTAGGAGGAGGGACAACGTTTACCGGTCAAACAAGTAAAACAACACGATGCTGAGAGCGCCCTTACACAATCTCCGCTGCCAAAACAGACCCTGCTCATCCCATCTAGATGGTCTTCTCTCGAGGGCTTGAGACTCTCGAACGGTCCAGACTCTACCACAGTTTCCTTTTTCTGTGGCTCATCTCCCTTGTGATTTTGAATTCTGCTTTAAACACGAGTTTAAATACCGCAGGTGTAAAGATTAAGGGTTAGCCTCCTCCCGGGGCTGCCATAGTTTTCCAGAGGATCCCATCCCTCCCCCACTTTTAGGCAGATCTGCAGTAAGCAAAAGGGAAAGCAGCGTCCCTCTTCCCTCAGCATCCCGTTATCCCAGAATGCCAGAGCTGGAACCCTCAGAGATGCTGCAGCTAAACCGAAGCCCCCATTTTAAAGCGAAGCCAAGAGGGACACGGTGCCTTTTCCAGCTCCCTCCATGATCTGCCAATAACTACGGGCGTCCCTGCCCCGAGAAGAAACAGTGAAGAGGGGATGAGGCAGCGCTGAAGCACGGAGCGTCGACCCAGACCCCGGCTGGGAGGCCGGTCAGATCCGGGCCGGGCCTGCCCCTCGGCTTCGCCGGCGGGAGCAGCGGCGGCTCAGGCGCGCCGCGGGCAGCCGCTGGGGCCTTTCCTGCGCCGGCGCCGGGGGCCTCCTCCGCTCTCCCTCGGCGCCGGGAACATGGTGGCGGCTGGGGCGTGGGTGCTGCTGCGAGGAGCTGTCCGGGAGCTGCTGCGGCTGCCGCTCGCGGGGGCCGCCCCCGGCCCGGAGCGCGCCTTCAGCCTCTCTTACAGTCGGGTGAGGCCCAGCTCTGAGCCGTGGCGGTCTTCGCCTCCGGCGGGGCTCTTTACGCCCGAGTATTGCTTCCGAGGGGTTCCGGCCTGAGGGTGGCGGGTTCACACTGTGCCGGCGCCCGAGGGCGCCAGGAGTTTCCCCGGGAGACTCGCTCACCCCCGCTCCCCGACTGCCAGGGCACGGTCATCGTGGAGCGCTGGTGGAAGGTACCGTTGGCTGGAGACGGCCGGAAGCCGCGCCTGCACCGGCGACACCGCGTCTACAAGCTGGTAGAGGACACGAAACATGGGCCCAAAGGCAACCTGGAGCTCATCCTCACCCAGTCGGTGGTAGGTAAGGCCCGGCAAAGGTATCTCCTACCTCAGGCTGGCCCCGTTTGGCGTCAGCTCTTTCCTGCCCTCCCCGTTTAGCTATTTCTCGCCGTTTGTAGAAATGATCTGCTCTGTATTTGAGGAGAGGAAGCCATAAAAAGTACTGTGATTGTGCCATTGGCCTCCTGCATAGAAAAAGGAACGCGAATGGGGCAACTGTGTAGAGGAGAAAGGAGGCCCAACAGCATGTGCTACAATGACTGAAACCCTGTGATGGGACAACTCTCACTTTGTACAGGGAATGTGAAACTTCTAAATCAGGCCGTAAAAAAACTAATTAGAAGTCTCTTAAGTGTTGTTCTTAGTGAGTATTAATATTTTTTCTAGGAGGAATAAGTACTGTGAGAGAATAAGAGGTGTGTCTTTGATCATCGCCTCTTTAGGAGGTCATCTGATCCAGTGTCTGTTCTCCTTGGCAGGACTTGGAGTCCGGGGTGACCTGGTCTCAGTGAAGAAACCTTTGGGCCGGAATCGACTGTTGCCTCAAGGTCTGGCTGTATATGCATCCCCTGAAAACAAGAAACTCTTTGAAGAGGAGAAATTGGTGAGCAGAGGGACTTGGAAGAAAGAATAAAACCTTAAGATTTCTTCTAGCAACTTCCTTCCCTTTGATATTTAACTTAAAAACGAAATAGGGATTAGAAGAATAGGAATCCAGAAACCCAGCCTATGTCCAGCATAATAAGAGTTTGATATTTATCATGGACTCATTTTTCTTTTCATTTTTTTCACCTTTAACTTTCTTTTTCTAGCTGAGACAAGAAGGAAAATTAGAGAGGATCCAGACCAGGGCGGGTGAGATGGTGAGTAAAAACATGGAAAGTTATTACTTATTTGTCACTTAAGGAGTTACCAGCCTCTTCCTGAGAGGCTCCTTGATTTCCTTGAAGTATCCTGATTGCAGACACACGTGTAGGAGAAAGGGGAAATGCTTGGCTGCCAAAACTGGTTTTGAGACCTCCTGGGAGATCCTGACTTGTTGGGTGAAGTGCCCTAGCTTATTGAGTAAAGCCCCAACCCAGGTAGTAGGGGACCCATGGAAAAGTGTGAGATAAGGGCTCTGCCTCCATAGATGTTTACAGACAAGTCACAAAAAACATGAGACACATGAGAAAGTGATCAGTAACTTCAAGGCAGTAGATTAGAAGAATGACATGGACCAAAAACGATTAGAGTGATGGAGAGGGCTTTTCTTCAGATGGGATTAGATTGGCCCCTGTGGGATTAGTAGGCTTTGGATAGGCCAGGAGGGTGGGAAAGGTATTCTTAAGAAAAAGTGTACGTAGATAATTAAGGCACGCTTTAACATAAAAGGTAGACCAGTCTAGCAAAAACAGAGGACTCATACAGGATAATACTTATGGCTGTAAAGGGAGTTGGAGTGAGATTTGTAAAACATTTTGAATCCTCGGCTGATGAATTTATATTTCATTCTATAAGCAGAAAGGATAGAGGTGGGACTGAGGGCCAGAAGTATTGGGTTAAAATGGTCTACGAAAGCCATTCTATCCTGGGGTGTATCAGTGGTCCCCATTGATAAGTCTAACTTTGACATGGCCTGTTTCTCCTTGCTTAGGAACAACCAGGCATAGGTGACATTCTCCTTCTTTGTACAGAATCAGCCTTGAGGCAGTAGAAATATTCGCTTTCCTATTCATCTTCTCACCTGTATGCTTGTGAGGCAGACATTGTGCCTCTTTCCTGAATTCAGGCCTTGTGCCTTTTGCTAACATGTTTCTTCTCCTTTGATTCCAACTCTAACCTAGCCCCTGTTTATATTTCCTATCAGACAGTGACGTTTCTCAAAAGCTGTCACCTGGAGGTGGGGATGAAAAACAACGTCAAATGGGAACTAAACCCTGAAATAGTTGCCCGCCATTTCTTCAAAAATGTGAGTGTTCCCAAGCACCAAGCACCACTGTCCCTCTGAGGGCAGAAGCTACCCCTGGGAAGGAGGCCCAGGATCGATCCCTTCGTTAGGAAAGGGTGTGATCGTCCAGCTGGAGTTATGGAAAGTGTTCTTGGTTGCAGGGTTGAGGAAGGGAAATGACTAAAGAGTAAGGGTGGTCAAAATTTGAAGACTGATAGGAAAAGATGGTGGCATCATTTATTTCCTCTCTAGGAAAAACCTGGGAAATGTGACCCACTGTGGAGTTTCTACTCTTGTGTGGAGGAAGTGATTTTGGTCTCAAGCCCTGTTTCTCTTTGGTGGATCCTCCTCCCTTTCTGAGAAATTGGGACTGAGTTTCTCTGCCACTATCTGTGGAGGGTAAACATGGTAACAGCCAGGGTAAACTCAGTTTTATTCATTCCTGTACAGGAAATTCCAGAACCTTCTTTGAGATTGCCTAGAGTTACATCAACATAAACAGAGCTCCTTTTGGCTTTGACTTTTTTGCAGCTTGGTGTTGTGGTCGCCCCACATGCATTAAAGTTACCAGAAGAACCCATTACACAGTGGGGCAAGTACTGGTGTGAGGTGACGGTGAGTATTTCACGTCCTGTCTCCTTTTTTCTGGCTGGGTAAAAAGCTTGGTATTAGCTCTTATCTGCCCAACTAACCTCTGAGGATTCCTTTGGTTTTGTGTACAGGTAAATGGACTTGACACTGTGAGGGTACCTATGTCTGTGGTGAACTTTGAGAGGCCCAAGACCAAGAGATACAAGTACTGGTTAGCCCAACAAGCTGCCAAGGGAATGGCCCCCACCAGCTCCCAGACTTTCTGAATCTACTCTCCCTCAAAATCAGACGAGCAGAATCAGGGGCCCCTGGAGGGCACAGTCAGTTGAGCATCTGACTTTAGCTCAGGTCATGGTCTCTTGGTTGGTGAGTTCGAGCCCCACATTGAGCCCTGTGCTGTCAGTGCAGAGCCTGCTTTGGATCCTCTGTCCTCCTCTCTCCCTGCCCCTCCCCCACTCACACTGTCTCCCCAAAATGAATAAGCAAAAAAGAAGAGCCGAATCAGGAGCAGTGGAGCAACGATGGGCCATCACCCTGATCAACTCCCAGCTCTGACGAAATAGTGGAATTTTACAGAGCATATGGAGACAACAGCCGAAACTGCATATACACGTTGAATCCTCCGTATTTTCCACCTCTGTCTTGGACTGTTACCACATCTGGCCTTACTGGGGTAGTCCTGCTCAAGGAGTACCAGGCTGTAGATTTGATAAGCTGAATATTAACAGATGGAAACAGTCTGGATCTTATTTAGCCTGAAATTCACTGGAACAAATGGAAGAGCTAGTCACTGTCTCCGTCACTAGGCTTATTCTCATACAAATTGAACATTTGTATCTCAAGAGGAAATAAAGAGATTGTGTTTTTGCTTATTTTTTAGTTTATTACAGTCTTTACAGTTAATTTTATGCAGTTATGATTTAGTACTGCACCTTTATGTCTATTTACATTTCTCTCAAGCAAATGGCACCATGTATGGTCTTTACGTGTGTGCGTAAGTTTTGATAAACTTTACCTTTTTAATTTTTAGGTTTTTTTAATGTATAGTTGACAACACCGTGTTACATCCTCAGGTGTATACAGCGTAGTGATTGGATAATTCTATACATTATGCTGTATAGCTACCGTTTGTTACCATGCAGTGCTATTACAAAACCATTGACTAGAGAGATTGTGTTCTTAGATGCTGTTTACTGGGCATGAGTAGACTGGGGGCAGAACTTCCAAGTAGGTTGTACTCTTGAGCTACTGGGGTTTGGTGCTAAAAAGGAAGGGAAAATAAAATTCATTTATAGGCTATATCCCGTGGGTGCTATGGGCAAATTACTTAACAAGCTGATATGTCTTAGGTCTTAAAAGTCATTTTTGTTAGGTATATTTATAAAGCTATAAATATGAATAAGCACAATGGATTCTACTTTTCTAAAGGGATCCAAATAAGGCCTAAGGGTAATTGTTGGAGAAAAATGAAGCTGCAATGAAAAAAGCTTAAAAAGGGAACTTACTTTGTTTCTGTAACCCTGAAATTTTGAAAAAGATGGCATCTTGGTTTCCAGAGCAAGGTTAAGATATAGGGCTAGTCATTGGGTAATTATGGAACAGGTATCTTGATAGGAGATAAGGGAAGTAGATAATTCTGCCTAAGTTCAAGGTCTACGAGTGGAAAAAAGATCCAACTGCTGACAAATGGATTGTGCTAGTCACTCCAATACAATGTGAGGTCACACAATTTATGACTCTTTGCTGTCTTTATCAGAAGCTCAGAGAGACTAGTTTCTAACCTAATGTTTGAGCTCACCTACCACTATGAGTCCGTTAAGCACTTTGATTCACATGAGGCCATCCCAACTGATAGAAGTCTATCATCAGTTGCACTGAAAACTAGCCAGCCACACACTAGCCAGCAAGGTGTGTGGAAACTTACGACTGGTGTTGTTTGAAATCTGCCATTTCAATGATCTTCATCCCTACTGTTAACTGGTGAAAAGCTCATTTAACACATCTTTCCACACCACCATGTCCCCATCAGAACATCTCTGAAATTGCCTGAGCAACAACCACAACATTCCACACAGCTCGTCTCAAAAGTGTTTAAATATTTGTCATAGTGTAAGTTCCTGGCGAAACAGACTGAATTGGAAATCTGTGTGCAGAAAGTTTATGATGAAGGGATCTTAGACTGGGTTGACACCTGTGGGGGAGTCCAGGAAGCAGGATTCGGTAGAGGAGGAGGTTAAGCTGGTCTCAACAAAGACCTCCGTCAGTCCCTCTCACTCAAGCTAGGATGGCTGTGTGGAAATGTGTACTCTATTGAGGCAAGTGGCCACATACGTACCCCTACATTGGCTAAAAAGGGGCCATGTCCTTGGGTGAGGTGTCTGACTTCGGGAAAAGGCAGCTCCCAAGGGGACTCAGAAGAGCACCGTCCGCATTCTCAGCAGCTTGGGAAATGAGTGCTTCAGTCCTGAAGCGGGGAATCTGGGCAGCACACTAGGTCTTCACTATAGTCCACCTTTCGTGCTGTTCGGATCCATTGTTTCTTGAGTTCTAGAGTGATCCCTTCAGGATTTGATGGGCCTCTTTTCCTGGGAAAACTGGTTAACAGAGGAAGGTCTGGGAGAGGCCGTAGCCCGGGCTGCTGTAACTTACCCTGTCTGCACTGGTACTCGTCTCCCTTCTCTACTCCTCATCTAGATTCCTACCCACACCCCCTCAACTTGTACTTCTGGTCCAAATAGGTTACCTGATAAGGTACCTGGTCATTATGCCCTTGCAGGCCATGACTGCACCTGTCCATTATCAGAATTGATACATGTGTCAGAACAGTATTTCCAAGTGTGGAATATGCTGTCTGTAGACCCCAGTGAGGTTTGTCGGGCACTGTGTTCCCTTCTTGGGAGTGAGATGTGAGAAGTAAAATTTCTCCTTTACTTTGAAGGGAACATCCTGGCATGGTCCAGACCACTGGACCTCTAAAAACATTACTGGGTATTTGCAGTTTTATGTACCACTACTTGAAGGATGTTTATCCTATCAAGGCCTCTAGTGCACTTGCCATTTCTTGCTCATCCTGTACAATTACCATGATGTCATCAATGAAGTAACGTGATGATCTGTGGATTGTCCATATGGTCCAGGACATATTATGACAGGGTGGGAGGTTTTACATGGTCCAGGTGCAAGACTATTCCTGCTCATCCCAGTAGTGAAAGTACTTTTTATGGTCCTTTCTTACAGAGATGGAAAAGAATATATTGCTCAGATTAATGGCCACCTATCATGTACCTGCGGCTGTGTTAATCTCTAGCAAAGACACCACATTTAGCATTTAGCACAGCAGATACAATTGAAATGACTTGATTGAGATCTTCCAAGAACTTTCTGATTTTACCAGGGACCAGACTAGTGTATTAAATAGTGTTTTAATGGGCCCACCATCCCTGCATCCTTTAGATCTGCAAGAGGGCCACTACTGTGGTAGTTTTTATTATCTTGGCCTGAGATGGTAGCAGCAACTTCAGGAGCTTCGTGCTGGCCTTTCTAACCCTATCACGGTTAGTGTAGTTCTGCCAACTATCAAATATATCCATCTCAGTTACCCATTAAGGACCAGTGAAATGACCGCTGGGTGGGTCTACGAACCCAGTAGGACCACTGAGAGCTAGACCTGGGTCTGGAATACATTTGTCACCCCATCCCCATACACTGCCACTCTACCAGGGGGCCATGATGATGCTTCAGATCCATGGACATCGGTATCAGATAAGACCCTGTATACAACAGTTTCTCAAATGGTTGTGCCTCTTTCTCCAGCATGTATTAAGCAAATGGTCGTGAGTCCTTATAGGACCAGGGGAATTATTACTTTGAATGAAGTAATGTGATGATCTGTGGAATGTCCATATGGTCCAGGACATATTATGCTGGACCTGCAAGAGGGTCATGCTGTTCTAGGGGCCTAGCCTCTTACATCAGTTGTTTCCAGCTGAAAAACTGGTTCGGGAAGACTTCTACTTCCACTGACAGAAATCACCTTCCCATTATAAACAACTAAAAAACCAGACAAAATTATAAAAAATGTTTATGGATATTGAAAAGCAAGTAGTACAGAACTTCGTTAAATGAGAAAAGGGAAATAAATGAGATGAGCCCTATGATAGCCTCAGTTTACTGAGAGTTGTGCCCAACTTTTTTTTTTTTTTTGACAAAGATACCAAAACAATTCAATGGAGGAAAGACAGCCTTTTCAACAAACGCTAGAGCAATAGGCACAAAATAAAACTTAACCTACATCTAACACCTTATACAAAAATTAACTCAGAATGGCCACGAACCTAGAGATAGTTTCCTGCACTGTGCTGTAGGGAGCATTGCAGAGGGGGGAATCTCAAAGCCAGAGATTAGAGCTGGTGGAGGAGGGTCATGAAGTCCCACCTCCCCTTCCCATGCCAAAGCAGTTCACAGAAAGTTAGTTAAAACAGAAGTTTAAATTTTGATTCAATCTCATAACACAAAAATATCTAGGTTCCAATAAAAAGTCATCATGGGTTGCCTGACTGGCTGTCAGAAGAGCACACGACTCTTGATCTTGGGGTGGTGAGTTCAAACCCCATGTTGGGTGTAGAGATTACTTAAAAAAATAAAGTTTTGAGGCACCTGGGTGGCTCAGTCGGTTGGGCATCCTACTTCGGCTCAGATCATATCACAGTTTGTGGGTTCGAGCCCCACATCAGGCTCTGTGCTGACAGCTCAGAGCCTGGATCCTGCTTTGGATTGTGTGTCTCCCTCTTTCTCTCTGCCCCTTCCCTGCGTGTGCGCTCTCTCTCTCTCTCTCAAATATAAAACATTAAAATAAATAAAGTCATTATATATGGGGAGGGGGTCTCTCATCATACCAAGAACCAAGAAGATCTCAAACTGAATGAAAAAAGACAATCAATAGGTGCCAATACTGAAATGACAACACAGCAGGGCCTAATCAACATTTATAGAACACTCCATCCAACAGCAGCGGAATAGACCTTTATTATGCTCCAGCAGAACATCTACCAAGATAGACCGTAACCTGGACCATAAGACAAATATCAACTGATTTAAAAATGGAGTCATACAGAACATGTTCTCTGATGACCATGGACATAAGATAGAAACCAACAGTAGAAAGAAAGGAGGAAAATCTTATAATACTTCAAAGCTAAATGCACTTCTAAATAATTCATGGGTCAATAAGGAATTCTCAAGGGAAATAAATTTTAAATACATTGAACTGAATAAAAATGAAAACATACCAAACATTGTTGCACACAGCTAAAGCAGTGCTGAGGAAAAATCAAAGCACTAAATGCATACATTTTATCTAAAGTCCCACCTCAAGAACTTAGAAAAAGAAGACCAAAGTAAACTCAAAACAAGCATGAGCAAGGAAATAACAAAAAAAAATAAGGAACAGAAAGCAAAGGAATTTATAAAAGAAAAAAAGAAAATCAATGAAAGAGCTAGTTCTTTGAAAAACACCAATAAAATCGACAAACCACTAGCAAGACTGACTAAAAAAAGACACAAACTACAAATATCAGAAATGAAACACAGCATATCACTAGAAACTTCACAAATATCAAAAAATGACAAGGGAACACTATAAACTCTACATGCATAAATTTGACAAAATGGACCAAATCCTTCGAAAAGCACAAACTACCACAACTGACCCAGGGTGAAACAGATCGTTTGAATAGCCCTATAACAATTAAGGAGAATTAATTCATAATTTAAAGATCCGCCCCCCATGTCCCCCCAAAAAGCTCTCAGGTCCAGATGGTTTCTCTGGAGAATTCTACCAGATGTTTAAAGAGGAAGTAATGCTAACTTTGTATGATTTCTTCCACAAAATAGGAGGGAATATTTCCCAATTCCTAGTATTACCATGAAAACAAACAAAACAATAGTACAAAAGAAAGTACAGGCCAATATCTCTCATGAATATAACTGCAAAACTCCTTAACAAAGTATCAGCACATAGATTGTATCAAATTGTGGTAAGATTTATATACCATGCTCAACTGGGGTTTATTCCAGGGATGCAAATGTGGCTCAATATTCAAAAGTCAATCTGTGTAATCTACCACAGTAACCCTCCAAAGAAGAAAATTACATGATCATCAATTGATGGAGAGGAATCATTTGGTAAAAGTCTGCACCCATTCATGATTAAAAATATATATATTCTCAGAAAAATGGGAGTATGGGGAAACTTCTTCAACTTGACAAAAGCACCTACAAAACGTCTACAGTTAATATTATACTTAATGGTGAAAGTCTGAGCACTTTTCTCCTAAGATCAGGAAAAAGGCAAGTATATCTGTTCTCACTCCTCTTCAACATACTGCTAGTAGTTCTAGACAGTGCAATAAGGCAAGACAAGGAACTAAAAAGCATACAGATGAAAAAAGAAAACTGTCCCCATTTACTGATGACATGATTGTCTATGTAGAAAATCTTACAAAAAAGGAATCTACAAAAAAACTCCTAAAAATAAATTCACACACACACACACACACACACACACACACACACTCATGTGGACACCAAAATTAAAAATACAATATACTTTAAAATTGTTCAAAAATACATAGGTATAAATCTAACAAAACATACGAGATATATATGGTAAAAACTACATGATGTCGATGAAAAAATCAAAGATCTAAATAAATGGAGAGACATACTGTTGTTCATGGATCAAAAGACTTGACATAGTAAAGATGTCACTTCTTCCCTATACTGATATGCAGGTTTAATGTAATTACTACCACACAGGAGTACTGATGCATAGGGGCACTTGTACCCCAATGTTCATAGCAGCACTCTCAACAATAGCCAAATTATGGAAAGAGCCTAAATGTCCATCAACTGATGAATGGATAAAGAAATTGTGGTTTATATACACAATGGAATACTACGTGGCAATGAGAAAAAATCAAATATGGCCTTTTGTAGCAACATGGATGGAACTGGAGAGTGTGATGCTAAGTGAAATAAGCCATACAGAGAAAGACAGATACCATATGGTTTCACTCTTATGTGGATCCTGAGAAACTTAACAGGAACCCATGGGGGAGGGGAAGAAAAAAAAA